TATATATATATATTTAAAATCATTTTAGTGGGAAAAAGACAACTCAAATATGTCTGACTATGTCTTCTGATCTTTCTGGGTCAATTTTCTGTACATTGATTAGTTCAGCTGTTCCTGATCTTTTTTTTAATCCATACAATAAATTTGTCTTTTAAAGGAATTTTTTTATTGTGCACTGTATTTAATACAAGTTCTTTTTAGTTCTCATTCATATCTTCCAAATGATGTTTTTAAAATCAATTCTTGTCCCTTATTATTCCTAGCATCTTTCATTCCTTTAATATATTCCACTCATGTTTTATGATTCTTTTAAAATATGAAGATTTGTAGATTTAAGTATGCTTCTTATTTTTTGTCTTGACTCCAGCTCTTATGTCTCACTTCTTTGTGTATATGTGTGTGCTTTAATTTCTGGCTCTGATTGACTAGAATTGCTTCAAAGACACCAGGTTGGGTTTATGTATTAATAGCCCCATTGTACAAGTCAGAGGCTGAAAGACTTAAGTGTCTTGGTTAATGATAACAAAATAAACAAGTGGCTTGAGATATGAACGCAAATCTCATTACAACAATACTTTCTCTTGCCCCCAAAATTAGATCTAGTGGATGAAGGACAAGGAAGAACAACGTTTAGAATGTGGCAAATAAATATCAAAAAGGGCAGGTTTAGCTTTAGTAAAGAGGTATATTACTTCTTTTCCTTAGTAAAAATGGGGATAACTGAAAATAATAATAATAAAAAAAGTTCTGAGTTGGGAAATCAAGGAAGTTTACATTTGAAATTCACCACCTTACCTGTAAAATGCTGATGTTACATTCTTACTTGCAACATGGTAAGTCATTGATTTAAGAAAATGCAAATTAGGAATCTTAAAAGTACACTCTGATTAAATGTTATTTATAAATTATAAAGAGGCCTTTTGAACAGAAAAGTGGCCTCAATTGAGGTGAGAAGATTAAACATGTATGGAAACCGACCATCCTAATGTTTCTAACATTCTGCAGTTTTGACTTTCACATACAAAATAAGTAAATAAATAAGTAAATAAATAAATAAATAAACCTAAACTAGCTTTGTGCCTTCTTTTGAAAAATGGTAAAATGAGAAGAGGTAGCAGTGGTTTTGGCTGCTCTGTGGTTTTGGAGCCATTTCAGTTGTTATCACTATTTGAGCAGTACAAGTATCATTACCTGAGAGGTAGTAAGAACTGTATAATCTTAGACACTTCCCACATGTATTGAATCAGAATCTTCATTTTAACAAGACCTAAAGGTCCTTTAGGAACTCTGGTAACATAGTGCCTAAGGCATTTTACTGCTAACCAGAAGGCTGGTGGTTCAAATCCACCAGCCACTCCTCAGAAGGAAGGTTGGGCAATCTCCTTCCATAATGATACTGCCTCAGAAACCCAGGGAGGGGTCTCTATAGGTCAGATCCGACTCAATGGCAGTGTGTTTGGTGTTTTTTTGGTAAAGGTCCCTTGTATGTTTGAGAAAAACTGGTCTATCAAAGTCAAAATATGCTAGAAAATACTAATACTTTGTATACTTCGATGAAAATTGAGGTGAATGAGAACAGTCAGATGCCACAGGTGGGGACCTAACCTTGCTTACTTTATATGCTGATATTTTTAATAGGTTTGTAAAACTTTATTTTTAAGTATTTTCTTTTAATTAAATTGTGCAATTGTATTTAAGCCTGAATCCTATCTTAGTTTTAAAGATATCTAATTGACTAATTGAGGAATAGCAACCTAAATACTCTTATTGGCTGTAATGAATCCAAACATAATTAGATCTCAGTAATTTCTGTGGGATCCACGTTAGAGGAATGTTAAAAGGATTTTAGTTTAGTTTCTCATATCTCAGTCCATTCCTGTTAATTATCTCCTCTGAAAGATGTTCAACACTGGTGATTCTTTTAGGGAAGTTGAACTATTTTATTTCATTTCAGTAACAAATTGTCACTTAAAACATGAAATAGCCCATTTGTTGATGGCCTACAAATATTTTCTGTTAACTAGGAAGATGTGCTACCCACAGGAGAAGCTATTACTCTAATTTGAATTTTGGTCACCTTGGACCATAAGACTGCTGCCTGTATCTGCTCCTAAGTGTTTACTAGTGAATCATCCACTGTTAGTGTAATTTCAATGCTAATTGTTGCTTTAGGTCTTCAAATGGCTCAGCATTAAGACATTACTGATTATTCATGCCTTAAGAAGGACTGATGATAAGGGAATGAGATTACAATCTTGTACAATTTTAGCTAACAAATTAAAATGTAAATTAAATTTTCCTGAGATGGATAATAACTTGCTAGGAAAGACAACAGAATGAGAAACTTCATTCACTTTTAATTTTCTCTTTCCTGTTTTACAGATATTCAGAGTATCAGAGGGCTGGCAGTAGACTGGGTATCACGTAATTTATACTGGATTAGCTCAGAATTTGATGAAACTCAAATTAATGTGGCACGATTAGATGGCTCTTTGAAAACCTCAATTATCCATGGAATTGATAAACCACAGTGTCTTGCAGCTCACCCAGTCAGGGGGTAAAGTATGATTATTTTTTGTAAAGTTTTCCCAAAATACCACAAACATATGTATCATCATATGTGTGTGTGTGTGTGTGTGTGTGAATGTATGTGTGTGTATGTAAATGACACAATGATTAAGCACTCAGTTGCCAACAGAAAATTTGGTGGTTTGAACATACCAGTGGTTCTGTGGAGAAAAGACCTGGTGATCTGGTCGTGTAAAGATTATAGTCCAGGAAACCTATGAGGCAGTTCTACTCTGTCCTATAGCATTGCTATGAGTCAGAATTCAGTTGACAGCAGTGGGCTATATGTGGAGAGAGAGAAGGAGAGAGAGACAAAGAGAGACACAGAGCCATAGTGGTGCTGTGGTTAAAATGCTAGGCTGCTAAATGAAACGTCAACAGTTCCAACTCACCAGCCACTCTTTGAGAAAAAGATGTGTCAGTCTGCTTCCACAAAGATCTACAGCCTTGGAAACCCCACAGGACAGTTCTACTCAGTCCGATAGGGCCACCATGAGTCACAATCAAACTGATGGCAGTAGGTTTTTGGTTTTGAGTATTATATAATTAATTGGTGTTTCTGAGGAGTGTCAATGTACAAAGAGATGCAGGAGAATGTTTCTGATTCCAGTTAGGATGCTGGTCATTAGTAACTTATTTACTGCAAGGTGACAATATGGTCAATGCTAAGAAGATCAGATCCTGACACCTTCTGATTATTCATCATGGACCTGTGAAGAATTTGTGCAGGGATAAAATAAATTATCTCTCCCAGCCTTCATCAGGAATGGTTAAAATGAATTTATTCTATGGTATTGGAATTCTCCACACTCCAAAGTAATCAATCTTAATGAATTGCTTAAAAGGAAAATAATTTAATTTAGCCATAATTATTTGGTTTTAAAAATAGGAGAAAAATAGAAGTGAGGTATATTTCCTTCCATGAATGGGAAAAGCAAGAATAGTGCTTTCTTCCAAGGCAAATGTGTAGGTTACCATTAGAAAGTGGCTCAGCAATTTTGGAACTTTATGAAAAGAACCTGTCTTGAGTCAAGAATACAGTTTGATATTTACTTCCCTCCTCAGTGCATGTTTCTATTCATCAAATTTGTCTATGCCTAATATTTTTAATCCATATCTCTTTTGTATTAAGGAAACTCTACTGGACAGATGGAAATACAATTAACATGGCTAACATGGATGGCAGTAACAGCAAGATTCTCTTTCAAAATCAGAAGGAACCAGTTGGTAAGTGTATTTTTTTCAATAATTCATCTTTGAAAATTTTAATATGACAAAAGTGAAATTGATCTGTATCTAGATCAATTGAAAGAAAATATTATAGATTAGTAATGTAAATTAAATCAGAAATTCATCACTCTTATTTAATCCTTTGGGACACATTCTATGTAGGGTGAGGAAGAAACATTATTTTTCTGCAAGACGAGGTAAGTTGTTTTAATAAGATAATTTTTGTAGTATATAAAGTAGGAATGAAGTTGCTTAAAACAATGTGATTAATTAATATCTCATTTTCCCTGGTGAGTGTCTAAAATACTGCTACAATGGCAATACAATGTCCTAATGCTTCCCTTGATTATTATCATCTTGTCATTCTTAATGGCTACAATGATTTGGGTTTAAGAATATAGTATTTTTTGTCCTTATTCACTCTGCAGTGTGTTCATTAAGTTAGTTTGCCTTTGCTAACATTGCAAATCATCAAGCAAAGGCATCATGGCACTAAAAGAGAGCCTTGACTCATTCTCAATAGAACAATTCAAATTTATCTTGGACAGAATATAAAGCAAGGTCAATGTTCTTTGCTAAATTATGTCTTTTTTCTAGAAAACTGAAAAATTAAAAATAAGAAATAATAGATCTTATTGTTGTTGTTGTTAGGTGCCACTAACTTGATTCCAACACAAAGTAACCCTGTGTACAACAGAATGAAACACTATCTGGTCCTGTACCATACCATCCCCATAGTTGTTGCTATGTAAGTCAATTGTTGCAGCCACTGTCAGTCCGTTTGACTGAGGGTCTTCCTCTTTTTCTCTGACTCTTTGCTTTGCCAAGCATCATGTTCTTCTCCAGTGATTGGTCCCTTGTGCCAAAAGTTCATGAAACATTCTGGCTATACCTCTTCCAAGGCATATATGTTCAATCTTCTGGCAGTCCATGATATATTTAGTATTCTTTGCCAACCCCATAACTCAAAGATGTAAATTCTTCTTTGGTCTTCCTTGTTCATTATTTAGCTTTTTCATGCATATGAAGCAATTCAAAATGCCAAGGCTTGGCTCAGGTTCACCTTAGTTCTCAAAGTGACATCTTTATTTTTTAACACTTTCCCCTTTTATGACCCATGGGACATATAATGCTCACCTTCTTTTTACCTCTCAGGTGCTTAGTTATAAGCTGTTATGCCACTTTTAGTGCATTCTGCCATTAGGTGGCAGCCTGCACAAATATGTCTGTTTGAAGAACGTATCCGTATCCCCACCAACCAAACTTATGGGATATATGTGTCCCACTAATTATATCAATATCCTTATTACCTCATAAAAATTTTTATATGTCCTTCAAAATATCTTCCATTACTGAAAACAAGGTTTCAAAATCCAGGTAAAAATGGGCAGATGACATAAACAGACATTTCACCAAAGAGAATATTCAGGCAGCCAACAAACATATGAGGAAATGTTCATGATCATTAGCCAATAGAGAGATGCAAATTAAAACAACAGTGAGACACAATCTTGCCCCAGCATTAATAGCAAAATTCAACAAGACAGAAAATAACAAATGCTGGTGAGCACATGGAGACATTGAGACTCTACTACACTGCTGGAGGGACTGTTAAATTATATAACACTGTGGAAAGCAGTACAATGATTCCTTAAAAAGTTGGAATTAGAAATACCATTTGACCCAGCAATCCCATTACTAGGTATATATTTTAAAGAAGTGAGAACCAGGGCAAAATCAGATATATGGACACCCATGTTCATTGCAACACTATTTACAATAGCAAAAAAGATGGAAACAATCTAGTTGTCCATCGACAAAAGAATGGATAACCAAACAATGATACAGACACACAATGGAATATTAGACAACCCTAAAGAATAAAGTAGAATCTGTAACACACCACATAACGTAGATGAATTTGGAGGACATTATGCTGAGTGGAATAACTCAATCGCAGAAGGACAAATATTGTATTAGTCCACATTATAAAAAGTCAAAGAAAATGTATATATGAAACAAAACTTTCTTTTTTTGATTAGCAGGGGTTGGAGGGGAGAGGAGTGAACACTGCTAGATAGGTAGACACAAGTATTGATTTGGGTGAAGGGAAGAACAATGTACCAAATGTGAGTGATCAACACAGTGACATTGAGGAAGAGGAAAATATAGAGTGGTACATAGGAGGTACAGACAACAAAGATGAACCCTTTTGCACATACAGTAGTGCATTGTCAGTGATAGCAAACATTGATCTACGGGTGGATAGATGGGTGGACAGGCTGAACTATTAGGTATGTCTGTGCAGGGGGGAATATGCCCATGATCATATATAGGATTGGCAGATGATTTTTCTACAATTGCATTTGTATGTTCTGAAGAATGTCCAGGTGTATAGTAGAGTTGATAAGGGACAAGACTGTGGTGGCTTCTTGGCCATAGCCAGCTACCTGGAGGAAGCGAATAGTTGAATCAGTGGGCTCAGGACCATGGTAACAGGGGACATCAAGCTCATTTGGCATAATATACTACACAAAAGGGAGCTCTGGTGGCTTAAAGTCTAAGTCTGACAGTTCAAACCCACCAGCCACTCCTTGGAAGGAAGGTTGGGCAATCTGTTGTTCTCTATCCTAGTTTGCTGAGTAGCTATTGAGATCTTAAAAGCTTGCAAGCAGCTGTCTATGTGCAACAATGGGCATCTCCTCATCCAGAGCGAAAAAATGAAGAAAATCAAACATTCATGGAAACAATTAGTTTAAATGACTGGTACACTATGCAATCTTCAGCCTATACGACTATAAGACCAGAAGAACTAGATGGTGACCAGCTACCACTGTCAACCACTCAAAGGGGGATCTGTGTAGGAGATTCTGGATAGAATGTGAGAACAATGTGGAACAAAACTCAAAATAAATTTAAAAAATAGACCAGGTTTGCTTGTCTGATAGAGCCTGATGAAACCCCTGAGTCCATGGCTGCTAGCTGCCCTTCAGGTCTGGAATTGAGGAATTGAGCTCACTCCTGTGGCTTCCAGCCAAACAAAAGCCAGGCCTATGAGCTGAACATTTACATCAAGTACATACAGTCCTTGGAGTGATCAATCATGGGAGAACAGAAGGGCAGTGTATGCACAGGGAGACAGCTGGGGAGGGGGGTGGAAGTGCATGGGAGGGAAGGACACAGGGGAAAGGTAACTGTGGGGAGGAAGTGGGAAGAGAGCTGTTACATTGTGGGAAATTGTAGTCAATGTCATGAGACAAAATATATATGAACTGCTGCATGGAAAATGAGTTTGCTCTGTAAACTTTCACCTAAATCATCATCATTATCATAATAAAACATGGTTTCAACAAAAAACTTCAAAGGAGTCAATAATTCAGTCTTGAAAATGGTTAAAGTCTTTTACAGTATGTTTGCCTAATGAAATTTGTCATTTGATTTATTGATTGGTGTTTCCATGAATAGCTCTGGTAGCGAAATGCCTGAGGCACTTGACTGCTAACCAGAAGGCTGTGGTTCAAACCCACCAGCCACTCCTTGAAAGGAAGGTTGGGCAATCTACTTCTGTAATGCTACTGCCTCAGAAACTCAAGGAGGGATCGCTGTGAGTCGGGTCTGACACTACGACACATAACAACAACAACAAATTTTCCATGAATGGTGATTGTGGATCCATATGAAATGAAGTCCTTAGTAACTTTAATCTTTTCTCCATTTATTATGATGTTGCTTATTGCATAGTACCTAAGGCACTTGAGTGCTAACCAGAAAGTTGGCAGTTCAAACCCACCAGCCATTCCTCGGAAGGAAGGTGGGCAATCCTACTTCTGTTGTGATACTGCCTTGGAAATCTAAGGAAGGGTCGCTATGAGTTGGGGCCGACTCGACGGCACATAACTACAACAAAAACAACATTGCCCCAGTGGTGAGGATTTTTGTTTTCTTTGTGATGAGTTGTAATTCATACTGAGGCCTTTGGTCTTCATCAATAACTGCTTCAAGTCCTCTTCATTTTCAGCAAGGAATACATCTTTTAGCTCATTTTAGATTCTTCAAATGTCTGCAAGTCCCTAAGAACTCTGAGATAGAATAAATTAATATATAAAATAAAAATTAAACAAAACTTAACAGTATGTTAATTATTTTTTGTTTGTTACATACTGGGAATGGTGCTAAGCAAAATAAATGTTTTTTTCACTTAGAAACTCATGGTCAGGAACTCATGAGAGATATTTAAAAAGCTACATGTTATAAAACATAATGTAAAATACTGCAATGAAATAAGAGTATGTTGTTACCGAATCATAGAAGAGAAAAAAAATGGATTCTGTTGACAGGGTCTTAATAGTTTGGGTAATGTTTGAACTGGTCCTTGTTGGATTAAACATCTATGACCAACATTAAAAGGGGTGTTAGTGATGAACAGTCAAAGAAGAAATAGCAGAAATAATAATGTGGAGAAATATAATAAAATGTAAATGAAGCCTTGAAATGTCAAGGAAATGATAAATGGAAGACTCTTTAAGTATCCAGCAGTATGATTAATGCCAAATCACTCCATCCTTCCATAATGTTTTAAAATTTAGAAAATATTCTTTTAGGAAGACCCAGCACATAGGGTAGAAATGATCTGATTGTACAACTAAATACACTTACAATTACTTTAAAAAAGTAAAATGGGGGAGGGGGAAAGGGGAATTTTCTCCAGATAATAAGCACTTGTGATTTTTGGTAATAGGAACAACAACAAAAAAAAAACCTCACAGCCAACAATCAAGTCAACTCTGATTCATAGTGACTCCCATTGGGTTTCCAAGGCAGTAAATCTTTACGGAAGTAGATTGTCCCATCTTCCTTCTATGGAGCAGATGGTGGGTTTAAACTGCCAACCTTCTGGCTAGCAGTCAAATATCTTAGGCACTGTACTACCAGAGCTAGAGTGAAGTGTACATAGCTTGATGAAGGTAAAAAAAGTCACTAAAAGGTATACAAGAATT